TCCAAAATCGCTAAGCCTTTAACTACCCTGACACAGAAAGGTGTAACCTTTAGTTGGGGAGTCAAATAAGACACTGCGTTTCAAACATTGAAGCAGGCCCTATGCAGTGCACCTATCTTGTCCTTGCCCGAAGGGACGAAAGACTTCGTTGTCTACTGTGATGCATCCAATCAGGGCCTAGGCTGTGTGCTCATGCAACGAGGAAAGGTTATCGCCTATGCCTCGAGGCAGCTGAAAACACACGAGGTCAATTACACAACTCACGATCTAGAGTTGGGAGCAGTGGTCTTTGCATTAAAGATCTGGAGACACTATCTCTATGGAACCAAGTGCACTATCTTCACCGACCATAAGAGCCTGCAACACATCTTTGATCAGAAGGAGTTAAACATGAGACAACGGCGATGGGTTGAGCTACTCAGTGACTACGAGTGTGACATTCGCTACCATCCCGACAATGCCAATGTGGTAGCAGATGCCCTCAGCCGAAAGGAGTGTTCAGGGCGAAAGGTGAAAGCATTAACAATGACCATTCATTCCCATCTATCCGCGCAAATCAGAGAGGCTCAGCTGGAAGCCTTGAAACCAGAGAAAGTGGCGGATGAAGCATTGCGAGGAATGGATAAGAACTTAGAGGTCAAGGGAGACGGAGTGTACTATTTCATGAGCCGGATCTGGACCCCAAAGTTCGGCGGATACAGAGAGGTTGTCATGCATGAGGCTCACAAGACGAAATACTCCGTTCACCCAGGTTCAAATAAGATGTATCTGGATCTCAAACAACTATACTGGTGGCCAAACATGAAAGCGGAAATTGCAACCTTTGTGGGCAAGTGCTTGACTTGCGCCAAGGTGAAGGTAGAATATCAAAAGCCCTTAGGTCTACTTCAGCAGCCAGAGATACCTGAGTGGAAGTGGGAAAGGATAACAATGGATTTTATCACTAAGCTACCCAGATCTCCGAGTGGGCACGACGCCATCTGGGTAATTGTCGATCGGTTGACAAAATCCGCCCACTTCCTGCCAATCAAAGAAAACTTCAAGATGGAGAGACTCACACGGATCTACATTCGAGAGATTGTCCGCCTTCATGGGTTACCTGTATCCATTATCTCCGACCGAGATAGCAGGTTCACCTCGAGATTTTGGCAATCGCTACAGAAGGCTCTTGCAACTAAGCTGGATATGAGCACGACTTATCATCCACATACAGATGGCTAGAGTGAGAGAACAATTCAAACATTGGAAGATATGTTGAGAGCCTGCGTCATAGATTTCGGCATGTCATGGGACATCCATTTACCCTTGGTTGAATTTTCCTACAACAACAGCTACCATACCAGCATCAAGTCTGCGCCATTTGAAGCCCTCTATGGCCGTAAGTGCAGATCCCCTTTGTACTGGGGTGAAGTGGGTGACACGCAGCTAGCCAAGGGTCAAGTCCCTGACAGCACTCTCACTGGTCCTGAGATCATCCGAGAGACGACTGAAAAGATCGTACAAATCCGAGAACGACTGAAAGCTTCAAGAGATAGACAAAAGAGCTACGCTGATAAGAGACGAAAACCCTTGGAGTTCCAGGTTGGTGACCGTGTTCTTTTGAAGGTATCACCCTGGAAGGGCATGATACGCTTCGGAAAGCGTGGAAAGCTGAATCCAAGATACATCGGACCATTCGAGATCCTCGCTAGGATCGGTCCCGTAGCATACAAACTCCAGTTACCTCGAGAACTTAGCAACGTACATCCTGTCTTTCACGTCTCGAACCTAAAGAAGTGTCTGTCCGATGAGACACTTGTCATTCCCCTCGATAAAATCGAACTAGACGAAAGTCTGCACTTCGTGGAAGAACCCGTGGAAATCATGGGCCGGGAAATCAAACGAACAAAACAAAGTTGCATCCCGATAGTGAAGGTTCGCTGGAATGCCAAGCGGGGACCTGAATTCACTTGGGAGCGTGAGGATTCAATGAAACGGGAGTACCCTCATCTTTTTCCAAGTCCATAATTGTATCTCTATTCTTGAATTTCGGGATGAAATTTCCTCTAACGGGGGGATGATGTGGCAACCCGAAACTTTTTTTGTTCCATTATGCAATTCCCGTTAATGAAATTTGAATTTTATTAATCTTCCGTCGAACCTTTGATTTAGAAAAATCATCTGGTATTATATAATTAAACTTATATATGCAAGTCAGAACCAAAACCGCGCGAAACTCGAATTATCCTCGAAAATCATCATGTTCACGGCCTGACTAGAGTTCACGGCCGTAAACCTGTTTACGGCCGTAAACTCGTTTGCGGCCAGCGTCGGGTGGACCCCACCCACCGACCCCAAAACCCCTATAAATATGAGACCCCCACCCTTATTTGAACATCTTTGACTGGAAACACTCTCTTTCTCTCTCTAAAACTCTTGACCGTAAACTCCTAGAAGGCCTCCAATCTTCGAGGAAAAATCGAGAAACACCGTTTAGAGTTATTTCGGGGCATCTGGAACACATTTCTCTTCGAAATCAGCACTCTTGTTCTTGAGTTTACGACCCATCTTCAAAGACCGTAAACCCGTTTACGACCCATCTTCAAAGACCGTAAACCCGTTTACGGCCCATCTTCAAAGACCGTAAACCCAGTTCACGACCGTAAACTCTTCACGTCCGCAAACTCTTCCTAAGTGGTGAACTCTTCACACACACACACACACACACACACACACACACACATATATATATATATATTATATATATATATATATATATATATATTATATATATAGAGAGAGGAGAGAGAGAGAGAGAGAGAGAGCTAGGTTCAAGTATTCTAACTAATTATTGTGTGGATGTAAGAATCAATGTGAGTCAATCATTTCAAAGCCTAAGTAAGGTAAATTTTTAATATTATCTATTAATTAATTTTAGTAATTAAATAAATATTTAATTAATCCCTTTAATTTAGGCAATATAGTTTTAGAGTTAATTAAATAAGGTAAATTTTTAGTGTTATCTATTAATTAATTTTAGTAATCAAATATATTTGTTCAGTAATTATATATTTAATGATGTTATTTAGACTATTATTCAGTAAGAATATGTATGAATCTATATTTGCATTACAATGGTTGAATATACAAGGATCATGTTATATTTCAACTGAAGGTTCAAGAATGTTGTTTTTCTACAAGAAGTTACTTCAATCAAAATATGTACCTATCAGAATATATTCTGGCATTTTCATAGAATATCGTTCTAACAGAATTGCATTCTAAAAGAATAAAATCGAGTAAAATTAAAAATTATTTTAGAATTAAAAATGAATTAATTAAAAAAATCAGAATTCAAAATTAAGAGAATCAATATCCCTTAAAATCTGAAATTTTCATTAATTAAACATGTATTTCCGAATTTAAACATGTAACTCCTAATTTAAAGATAGGTAAATCATTACTTAAAATAATTAAAATCATTGGTCTACATTCATCCCTACATCCACACAATAATTAATTAGAATACAATAACCTAAGCCTATATATATATATATATATATATATATATATATATATATATATATATATATATATTGTAAATATAGAAAAAATACACTATCTTTCTAAATTTAGTTGTTATTTCTTGCAATTTGCTCCAACTTTAAGTTCTAAAATTTTTGTTTTATTTTCCAAGAAGCCATGATTGGTGTGTTTTTATTTTGGAACATAAAAGGAAAAAATATGCAATTATTTACAAAAAGGGGCAGGAAGCCAACGAGACAATAATGTTGGACTTTAGCATGTATTTTATACAGTTTGTCATACAAATACATTACGACAATGTAATATCATATATTTTATACAGTTTGTCATACAAATACATTACGATAATGTAATATCATATATCAGACAAAGAGAATACAATAGGATAGTATATATATGTCATATAAAAAGATACAACGAGATTATAATAAGCTCTGTTGTTTTTATTGTTAAAAAACGATTACTATATTGTAAATAAATCCACAATAAAGATTTTTATAGTATACTATCAGTTAAAATCTAATATTTTTTTTGTCTAATATCCTAAATGTACAAACGATTGTCGGTTTCTTGTCATTTTATGTAAACAGTTGTCATTTTTTTTCATACAAAAAAGTAAAGTCATGGTTTATTCACAAATAAGACCAAAGTTTTGGTGAAAATTTTTTATGGAAAGTTCATTAGACCAACTCCAATGATCATCTAAAAAACGTATTTATAGTGTCAGTTATTCGTTTTTTATTTCAACCATCTACTAAAAAACACCATCTTAATGTGTTGGATAATTTTACACTTCAAATATAAAGGTCAAAACAGTTCGGTATTAAAAAATACTATTGCATTGTTAGGTTGAAATGCAATCACCATTTTAATATTAAAAATACATCAATTTAATGTTTAACCATGGGAGTTGGTCTTAGATTGCAATAAGGGAGGAGGGAGTCGTTCTCACTGAACCCACTGCCACATCAACTTTTCTCTTTGATTTTTCTTCATCTTTTCCAACCCACAACACACGGAAATCCTATCTTTCTCAACCCACTCAATTAAAAAAATACTAAACAACTAAGGTACAAGTCTTAAAACACATGGTACAAGAGAAAATAAGAGAGAAAAAGTAGAGAGAGATGATGAAGTGGGTTAGTGAAACCAATTAAACAATCCGCTGATGAGGGAGTGGTACCGACGGTAACTTTATTGCTAATTAAGATTTTACCTTAGTTGTTTAGTATTTTTTTTTAATTGAGTGGGTTGAGAAAAATAGGATTTCCGTGTGTTGTGGGTTGAAAAAGATGAAGAAAAATCAAAGAGAAAAACTAATGTGGCAGTGGGTTCAGTAGGTTCAGTAAGAACGGCTCCCTCCTCCCTAACGTAGAAAAGTAGAAAACATACACCATAAGCACATAAAGGTAAGCTTATCAAACCTTGAGGACTAATTTTGTAGTAACCCAAAGATTTCACATATTTATGATTTATCCTTCAATCATAAAATCTAGAGAAAGAAAAACCCCTTGAAGAAATGGCGCCCCTTCTTTCCCTGAATCAATCGACCTGCCTCCAACCTTTATCTCGTATGGCCCTCTCCCTCAATACTCCGTCGGTGATGCCGTTCAAGGTACGTCCGAGACTGCTTTCTTACGAAACTGGCGATCTGTTTCGATCATGTCCGTCTGCTAACTAAAATTTAGGTTTTCATTGTGCAATTTGAGTAGTCTGTCGTGTATTATCTTAACGTGTGTGCTGTAATTATCCATACGAAATTGATCTATTTTTGTAAAGGAACCCCATATCCCTCGAGTTCTATAATCAAAACTACGGTTTCACTTCTGAAGTGAAATTGGGTAATGTTTGAATTTCGAAATCGGCATGAAATGTGTATAGTTTTCCAATGTTTATGCTTTGAAGTCGATATCTGTACACAATCTTTACTTTTTCCAATTTGATAACGCTACTATTAGTTTATTACCTATTACCTTCCTGTTTTAACCCAATTTTAGGGTAGAGAACCAGAATTATTGGTATATAATTGGTCAGATACGAGTTTCTGAGTTTTCTGATTATTGCAACCTAAATCACCACAATCTTCTCTCTAAATTCATGCCAAAAATCAAACAGAAATCCAGATTATTGGTTCCCAACCTGTAAATCAAACAATTCTGGATTGATTTTTTACCTGCATACATTCATTTGGACTAACAAATCTCTTATACTGACACAGGGTTGGTCAAATCAATCTAATTTCTTAACTTGTAAACCAAATGGCTTATCATCTGCAAAATCTTGTTCAAAAGTCATGTCTGCAATAAACATGAATGCATCACAACCAAACGACCATGGAAAGCCAATTGATGACCTTGTAACAGAAAAGGCAAGAAAGTTATGGGATAATTCTCCCCAAGAAATCAAGAACTTCCCATGGACAAGAGCCTTGGAGAATTTCACCCAACTTATTATTGACATCATATTAGTAGTCACCAAATACCTTTATATACCAGTAATGGCAATCACTTCTGTTAGTGAAATGTCATATTGTGCTCATGAAAGAAAGCTAGTCATAATCCCTCTTCCAATTCTTATTGGTGTTGCTGTAGCTGGGGTTTTGAGAAACAGAGCATTGAAATTATCTCCATTTCTCAAGGTAATCTAAGATCTCTAATTCTTTATATAAAATAAACTTTCTTATTCTAGCTCTAATATTTATCTCCTTGTCTTTTTTTTTTCCTAGGATGCTAAAGTTCCATGGCATTTATATGCAAATATGCTTTTTTTCACTTTGATCAAATTGCCAGGCCCGATCTATCCGTATTGGGGACGCATTTTTATACCACATTTTGCGAATGGAGGGTTGTTTAGGACTCTATGGTTTCTGTTTTTATGGTACAAGATGCCTAGGAAAGAAGTGCACACTAATCTTGAATGATCAAGAATTGTATTTCTTTAAAAGTAAAAGACATTTTTGTTAGATTAGCAATGTAGTATTAGTATAGGGAAGAATATGCATTTTTGTTATGGGTATTTTGTGCCCTTTTACTCTTGAGACTGTCATGACAGGGCAAAACAGAACAGAATGACCTTGTACTGCATTTGATGCTGGTGGGTGTCGGTGTTTTATAATATTTGCTACACAACAACAAAGCAAACTCTCAACAAAATTTTATTCATTCGATTCAACTTTCAAGAATCGATGTTGGCAAATTATTACAAAAAGAAACGAAAAAGCATTTAGCCCTTATGGTATGCCTGTTAGAATTGGAGGATTAGAAATCGGCTTTCCTCTTCCCATTGTAAAACCCCTTGTCACATCTGGCATTCGTGGGCCTTTAGGACTCATTTTCATTGAAGATGCTTCCAAATGGATTACTGAACTGCTTGTTTGTGTTTGTGGACTCGGTGCAAGAAGCCCACGACTACTGTGTGTTGGGGTCCGTGACTTTGATTTCCCACGGGCCCGCGCCCATCCCTTCTTTGAATTCTCCTCACCCTATCAAAAATCAGTACTCAATTATAGCAATCTACTTTAAATGCCTCAAAAATTGAAAAAGAAAAATTACGTTGTTTTCGATGCCTAGTTCTGCAGGGGCACTATTAGGCTGAGAAGGTTCTTCTGACATGTCAAATACATCATCATCATTGTCAAGTAGCCCATCAAAATCTAACTTTCTGGTCTTCAGAACAGATTTTGGCTGAGTTTTTAAATTATTATATAAATAAATAAGTCGATTATGATGATCTTTTATAGAAATAAAGAAATAGAGATTGGTGATCACATACTGAACGTCGAATCAACAACCTAACACGGAACCCCTTTCTCCAGTTTCTCTCATCGTTCAATTTATCAACCTAGAAACAAATTATTTGAATCAAGTATCAAGACACAAAAGAAAAGCGCGTTAAATTAAAAGAGTTTAGTTTAACCATAGAAACATACTGCTTTTTCTGCTATTTCGGTAGTTTCATATTCCACTAAAGCATGGAGCTTATTGCTAAATACATATTCCTCTTTGGAATGTGACGAGTTGGGCTCGGGGGGATGACATATACGAATGGCTTTCACACTGATCAATAGTTTTTCTTAGAATTAATTGATTTGGGTTGCCAAAAATATTGAAAAGTTTGAAGCTTTTTACCTTCCAATCACACTAAAGATTTTCTCAAGATTTTGATGAGAATGATCTTCGGGAAGGTTCTCGCCAACAACAGTACAGGACTGCACAACAAATCAATCTATCAAACTTTTGCAGTTTCTATAAAAAAAAGTTATTCTTCCAGCAAACCCTAAGCTGGTTATTCTGTTTTACCCCATGAATCAGGTATACAGTGGCCCACTAAGTGGCTCAGTAATCCATTTAAAATTTTAAACTTTGCCAAGATTCAAACCTGCAATTCTTCTTTATCTTTCTCTGTGAAGGGATGTCTAAGTCTAACTTTTTTCCCATCATTGCTTACAACCTAAAGCGGATTGAAGCATCATTATTTAAACCAATAAGAAGGATTTCCAAAAGATGAAATCTTGAAAACCAAGGTTGAAGAACAAACCAACTTTGAAGAGGAACGGAGAGCTTGAGCAATTAAATGGTTATTAGTGATGCAGGATTTGATTTTCTTCATAGATGCAATAACAGATATGGGAACTGTAACAATATATGCATTTTGGAACAAAATCATTACAACATTTTAATGGTGAAAATGGTGAGTGTGTGATCAATCTCACCATAGCCTTCTGGATCCTTGCTAATGTGTTTCACCAAGGACTCGTTTGCAAGCAGGCTCAGCCCACTGAACTGATACTCCACCTGTTACAGACATGGATTCATGGTAGCAAACAGAATATTAAGATTGAATATGAAGAAAATTTGTATGATGTATTAAAGAATTGTTATAATATGGTGGGAAAATAATGATGGATCAAACTCACTCAAACCAAAACAAGCAAAAGGGACCTGTTTGATGATCTTTTGTTGAAGATCTTCAGTGAGGACATTCTTCGAATAGTTGGGGATCAAAGCATTAGGGTTCGTAAAAAGATGCATTTGCTGATCTTGATCAGCAGCGCTAGCATAAATCCAATCAGCCGACCCACTTCCATCGTTCCCACCCATACCCATGTAACTAAAATACGGGTAAAAGTAACCCGAAACTGGAGATTCGGTACGTGAACTTGGAACAAATTCGGGTGCTTGTGCATTGAATTTGAAAGATGTAGGACTCGAAATTGAAATCTCTCTCTTTTCATCCCTCTTTGTCGTCGTCGACTCCTTTTCGAGCTTTTCCTGTAATTTTTCTTCTGGGTGTGCTTGCGCCATTATTGGTTTGATTTCTTTATCTCTTTTGTTTTTTGTTTTTTTTGTTTGTTGAGGTTTTTTTGTTTTTCGGCTAATCTAATCACTCCCCATTATGAAATTAGAGATCTTGTTTCTTATTCTCTCCTTTACTTCTTCTTCTTCTAGATAGACAACAAGAAACATAATTTTTTTTTGATAGAGGGGAAGTGGTGTTGGAGCGGGGAAGTTGCCATGGATTTCTCAAGGCAACAGTAATTTAATGTCCGATCCATATTTGACGCCGAAAGAAGGATTCTGTTACCGTTTCTTCTTGGGCATGATAACAACGAGGGATACTTCATACTTGTTGATATAAATTCGGGACCTAAATATTAATGTTAGACTAAACCTAAATTCGTATAGATTTTAAAAAATGTTTATTTATTTATTTAAAACTTGATTCCATACTGGTATGAGTTAAAATGAGTGTTTGGATAGACTATCTTTTTAAAAACAACTTATACCGGTGTGGAACCGAAAACAAGTCATTTTTGATAAGTTACTAAACTCTAACTTATTATAACTCCTTTTAACTTATAGTGTCTAACATCTCTAGGAATCCCTTTTATGGCTTTTTTTTTTGGAAAGGGAACTTTCCTAACGAGGGTTTCCGGGCCAGCTTTCGCGCACCGACTAATCCCCGCTGCAACCATGAGGCTTTTCCTCATGCCTTGGAGTCACTGCACGCGAACCTCCATGGCGACAACGGCTGAGTGGTGCCAGGATTTGAACATGGGTCAATAGGTTATCCATCATATCTTCCACATGCCTTATCAAGTCACCACAACCCAAGTGGTTATTTTGCCAAACACTAAAAATGACTTGTCAACTTATAGCGATAAGCCAATTCAAACACATTTTTAAAAACTCTCTTTTGATACCACAATAAATAATAAGCTATAGATTAAAAAGTTAAAAACATGCTTGGCCAAATGCCCTTTTAGTCTAACTTTTGGGGTTAGATTTGCAAACAGCCAGTCTAGTGGGTGAAAAGTCGGCCTATTTAGCACCATTGTGCTGTAAATTGTGTCAAATTACTGGTCTATGTTATGAATATTTTAACCATTTAAAGCTTACAGTCCGGACCGAATCCGATTGGGAGCACAATATCTAGTTTGGGCCCCAAAATCACAATGAATCGGTTGTTGTGCACATTTATTTATTTAGTGCACATTTCACATATTTATCTTTGCAAAAACACACAATTTAATATAATAAATTTTGGTATTTGTGAATAAGGGTGATTGAAGACTAGTTGACGAGCATTTAACTGCTCTCATTTTTCTCATAACATACAAGTTTAGCTTACGAGCAATCATGAAAAGTTTCATGAGACTCATTTTAGTATCATCATGAAATTTTAGATTATTTAGACGTACACAAGAGACTAAAGGGTATTTAGGCAAAGCTCAACACATGTTAGGAGGTGAGGAGTACACAATCCTATAACCTAGTTCGAATCTAGGTAGGACAAATGGAAATTGCCCATTACTAACTTGTGATGCATTAACAGTGGACCCATATGCATAGGTGAGCATGGGTCGGTTTTGACCTAAAACGGAACCCAAAATCGACTTATTAGTTTTCAAAAAATTAGAACCTAGCCCAACCAAAAACTGATGGATTCGGTTTTGGGTTTAAACCCAAACCCAATTACAAACTTTGTTAGCTTAGAAGAGAATGGAGTTAATCTCTCTTTATGAGGATACCCTGGGCACTGTTTATTCTTATAGGCGATGTGGGATGCGAAAGTGGAAAGCTTAAGAAAACTGTTTGAGGGACGCACAACTTTGCTTTCAAAATAAAATGTGCGATATATGGAGGGGCAACGGATTCGAACACGGGACATAAGGGTTGGAGGTCAAAACACTTAAGTACTGGACCAAGCTTTTGTTTATTTCACGAAATTCCTATTCTGTTTGGTTTTGGGTTTACTCGGTTTCTTATATTTACAAAACCGAACCTAACCCGATTTATTTTTGGTTTTAAGAAATATAAACTCAAAACCGATGGTTAGGGTTTGGTTTCGGTTTCGTCGGTTTTTTTCGATATATATATATATATATATATATATATATATATATATATATATATATATATATATATATATATATATATATAGGGTTCGGTTTTGCTCACTCTTGTGCATATTTTGCATTGAGGTCTAAGGGCAGTGCCTTAAAAAAATAACATCAGACTAAACCTAAATTCATGCGATCTATTGAAGAGTATAAAGTGGTTGGTGAAAAGAACTAAGTTCTTAGTGATATTAAAAGTGAGGGTGATATAAATGTGTATACATCAAAATCATTGTATGGTTTGATGTGTTGAAAAGTCAATGTACCGACATGATAAATCTCCAAGTTAATCTCATACTCGGTTGTGAGGCATCATCATAATGTAGGTTGTATCAATAAATGAAAAAAATCTATAGATTTGTTGCTAGTAATGTGGCATCCGACCCAAAGGAAAATAGTAGGAAAATAGTTGAATAAGTAAGATGTTGATCAAAATACATAAACTATGATATGATGATATCTAAAGATGTGGCCTTATGATTATAAGACCTTCAAAACATGAAAACACCAAGTGTATACAAATGTATGCAAGTTAAGAAATTCATGTATGTTGATAATAATCTAACTTGGGGAGTATGTATCTTGAAGTGTTATACATTGAGCATAATAGAGTACAAGCG